CTCTCTCTCTTCTCTCTCAAGTGTTACGTCTGGCAGGAATGACGATGGGTATAAATACCTCTTGTCTTTGACAGAATATTTTAAAACTGAAAGGAGGTGCAGCAGGAGGTGCAGCAGGAGGTGCAGCAGGAGGTGCAGCAGGAGGTGCAGCAGGAGGTGCAGCAGGAGGTGCAGCAGGAGGTGCAGCAGGAGGTGCAGCAGGAGGTGCAGCAGGAGGTGCAGCAGGAGGTGCAACAGGAGGTGCAACAGGAGGTGCAACAGGAGGTGCAACAGGAGGTGCAGCAGGAGGTGCAACAGGAGGTGCAGCAGGAGGTGCAGCAGGAGGTGCAGCAGGAGGTGCAGCAGGAGGCGCAACAGGAGGTGCAGCAGGAGGTGCAGCAGGAGGTGCAACAGGAGGTGCAACAGGAGGTGCAGCAGGAGGTGCAGCAGGAGGTGCAACAGGAGGTGCAGCAGGAGGTGCAACGGGAGGTGCAGCAGGAGGTTGCAGCAGGAGGTGCAGGAGGAGGTGCAGCATGAGGTGCAGCAGGAGGTGCAGCAGGAGGTGCAGCAGGAGGTGCAGCAGGAGGTGCAACAGGAGGTGCAGCAGGAGGTGCAACAGGAGGTGCAGCAGGGGGTGCAGCAGGAGGTGCAGCAGGAGGTGCAGCAGAGGGTGCAGCAGGAGGTGAAAGGGGCAGCATGAGGTGCAGTAGGAGGTGCAGCAGGAGGTGCAGCAGGAGGTGCAGCAGGAGGTGCAGCAGGAGGTGCAGCAGGAGGTGCAGCATGAGGTGCAGCAGGAGGTGCAGCAGGAGGTGCAGCAGGAGGTGCAGCAGGAGGTGCAGCAGAGGTGCAGCATGAGGTGCAGCAGGAGGTGCAGCAGGAGGTGCAGCAGGAGGTGCAACAGGAGGTGCAGCAGGAGGTGCAGCAGGAGGTGCAGCAGGAGGTGCAGCAGGAGGTGCAGCATGAGGTGCAGCAGGAGGTGCAGCAGGAGGTGCAGCAGGAGGTGCAGCAGGAGGTGCAGCAGGAGGTGCAGCAGGAGGTGCAGCATGAGGTGCAGCAGGAGGTGCAGCAGGAGGTGCAGCAGGAGGTGCAGCAGGAGGTGCAGCAGGAGGTGCAGCATGAGGTGCAGCAGGAGGTGCAGCAGGAGGTGCAGCAGGAGGTGCAGCAGGAGGTGCAACAGGAGGTGCAGCAGGAGGTGCAGCAGGAGGTGCAGCATGAGGTGCAGCAGGGAGGTGCAGCAGGAGGTGCAGCAGGAGGTGCAGCAGGAGGTGCAACAGGAGGTGCAGCAGGAGGTGCAACAGGAGGTGCAGCAGGAGGTGCAGCAGGAGGTGCAGCAGGAGGTGCAACAGGAGGTGCAGCAGGAGGTGCAACAGGAGGTGCAGCAGGAGGTGCAGCAGGAGGTGCAGCAGGAGGTGCAGCAGAGGCGACATGGTTCGCCCGGGAACGCGTGTGGGTGCTGCAAGTGTGGGGCGGGGCGGGCGGGCGGGCGGGCGGGCCGGCGGGCGGGCGGAGAATGCTGGGGAATACACTGCTGAGGGATACACCGTACAGAAGTACACCCTACAGAAGAAAAGTCCACTACGGCTGTCTACCAGCCTACTACTAAAGGACGGTAGTACCTCCCTGGGTGGTTGCTGTCAACCAGCCTACTACTAAAGGACGGTAGTACCTCCCTGGGTGGTTGCTGTCTACCAACCTATTACTACAGGATGGTAGTACCTCCCTGGGTGGTTGCTGTCTACCAACCTATTACTACAGGATGGTAGTACCTCCCTGGGTGGTTGTTGTCTACCAACCTACTACCACAGGATGGTAGTACCTCCCTGGGTGGTTGTTGTCTACCAACCTACTACCACAGGATGGTAGTACCTCCCTGTGTGGTTGTTGTCTACCAACCTACTACCACAGGATGGTAGTACCTCCCTGGGTGGTTGTTGTCTACCAACCTACTACCACAGGATGGTAGTACCTCCTGGGTGGTTGTTGTCTACCAACCTACTACCACAGGATGGTAGTACCTCCCTGTGTGGTTGTTGTCTACCAACCTACTACCACAGGATGGTAGTACCTCCCTGGGTGGTTGTTGTCTACCAACCTACTACCACAGGATGGTAGTACCTCCCTGGGTGGTTGTTGTCTACCAACCTACTACCACAGGATGGTAGTACCTCCCTGTGTGGTTGTTGTCTACCAACCTACTACCACAGGATGGTAGTACCTCCCTGTGTGGTTGTTGTCTACCAACCTACTACCACAGGATGGTAGTACCTCCCTGTGTGGTTGTTGTCTACCAACCTACTACCACAGGATGGTAGTACCTCCCTGTGTGGTTGTTGTCTACCAACCTAATACCACATAATACATAATTATGCACAACAGTGAGACTCACATAGATAAGGTACATGCGCAGTTTGTCTTGAATAAAGTTGCTTTAGCTTTGGACCTCAGGTCGAGCTCGTCTTGCCGTGAAATGGTAACGCTCGTTTGAATTGTTAACCTTTCTTGTATCAGGACGTTTCGGTTATTCAGGTTGCCGATCATGTCTTTGATGCCAAATAATGTTAAACTGCTGGACTCGAATTCAATCTCCGTGTACCTGTTGATGAGAACACAGGTGTGGTTACCAGTGTTCCACACTGTATACTTGTGGTTATCTGCTACACCTACACAGCTGTAGTTACCTGTGCCCCACACCTCCTATACATCTGTAATTCAAGACTATGATACGCAAATAATCCACACAAGGAGAGAAAAGCTTACGACAACGTTTTGGTCTGACTTGGACCATTTACAAAGTCACACTAACACATAAGAGTGAGGGAACCAGTATATATATATATAGGCAGGAGGGAGAGGGACGGAACCAAGAGAGGAAGAAAAAGAAGTAGTGGCAGTGGTAAAGGTGGTCGTGGAAGTAGTCGTAGTAGAAGTAACAGTGGTAGTAAAAAGTAGTTTATTGGCACAACTTACTACTACCTCTATTCTACTACTACTTCCACTACCAGCCATACCACTGCTACTTTTCCTTCATCTCTTGGCCCTATCCCTGTCCCCCCTCACCTATATATACTGGCTCCCTCTCTCTCGTGTGTTAGTGTGACTTTGTAAATGGTCCAAGTCAGACCCAAACATCATCGTAAGTTCTATCTCTCTGTCTCTCTCTCTTTCTCCTTGTGTGGGTTATTTGTGTATTGTTCCAGTCACGTCATGGCACACATAAGTGCCATAAGGCACCTAAACTACTGTGAACAGTTGAAGGTCCTTGATCTGTATTCCCTGGAACACAGGCGAGAGAGATACATGATAATGTACACTTGGAAGGTCCTGGAGGGATTGGTACCAAACTTGCACACGAAAATCACTCTCTATGAAAGCAATAGACTCGGCAGGAGATGCAACATTCCCCCGATGAAAAGCAGAGGTGCCACGAGTACACTGAGAGACAGCTCAGTAAACGTCCGGGGCCCAAGACTGATCAATTGCCTTCCAGCATACATAAAGGGGATTACCAATAGTCCCCTGGCTGTCTTCAATAGGCACTGGACAGGCACCTAAACTCAGTACCTGACCAACTGGGCTGTGGTTTGTATGTCAGCTTGCATGCGGCCAGCAGTAACAGCCTAGTTGATCAGACCCTAATCCACCATGAGGCCTGGTCTCAGACCGGGCCGCAGAGGCGTTGATCCCCAAAGCCCTCTCCAGGTAAACTCCAGGTAAACTACGTCTGTATTTTGTTTATCCTCTACAGCATCCAGGACCTTGTCATAGTGGTCCAGTAGCTGGGACAGGCAGGAGCAACCTGCTCTAAACCCGTGTTGTCCTGGGTTGTGTAATTGATGGGTATCTAGGTGGCTGGCTATCTTGCTTCTTAGAACCCTCTCATAAATTTTTATGATATGGGATGTTAGTGCTATCGGTCTGTAGTTCTTTGCACTTGCTTTATTGCCACCTTTGTGGAGTGGGGCTATGTCTGTTGTTTTTAGTGTGTGGGATGACCCTCGTGTCCATGCTCCCTCTCCATAAAATGCTGAAGGCACGGGATAGAGACTTCTTGTGGTTCTTGATGAACACGGAGTTCCACGAGTCTGGGCCTGGGGCAGAGTGCATGGGCATGTCGTTAATTGCCTCTTCAAAATCTTGTGGAGGTAGAATAATATCCGAGAGTTTTGGGTTGACCAAATTTTGGGTTTCGTTCATAAAGGATTCCTTTGGAATCCTTTAGAGTGGGCAGTGGCTCGCTGAACACTGAGTCATATTGGGACTTTAGTATCTCACTCATTTCTTGGCTGTCATCTGTGTATGTCCCATCCCACCTAAGCAGGGGCCCAATACTGGATGTTGTTTTTCCCTTAGATATGGCATAAGAGAAGAAGTATTTTTTTTTTTCAATTTTCTTTTTGGCTTTTAGTTCTTCCTGTGATTTTTGTCTCCTATAAGATTCCTTCAGCTTAAGTTTGATATTTGCAATTTCATTGACTAGTGCCTCTCTTCGTATTTCAGATGTATTGACCTCACTCAGCAGCTCTGTGACTCTTTGCCTTCGTCTGTATAGGGAACGTCTCTCTGTTTCTAGTTTACATCTTCTCTTTCTTTTTCTTAATGGAATGTGTCTTGAGCAGATCTCAAGAACCACAGAATTCATTGTTTCAAGGCAAATGTTCGGATCCGTGTTGTTTAGGATATCTCAGCTTGCTTCATTTAGGACATGGTTTACTTGATTCTAATGTATGTTTTTGTTATTGAAATTGAATTTCGTGAAGAGACCTTCATGACTGCTCACATTTTGCTGGTCCGGAGCCCTGTGCACACATGTCTGTACCTCTGTTATGTTGTAATCTGAGTTGACTGTCTTGGATACAGTTACATTACGTGTCAGATCATCATTGTTAGTGAAGATGAGGTCCAGCGTATTTTCTAGTCCTGTAGGCTCTACTATTTGCTGGTTTAAGGTGAATCTGTTGCAGAGATTAAATAGTTCGTGTGTGTGTGAATTTTCATCTGAGCTGCCTCCCGGGTGATCACTGCTAAAACATTGTTGGCTATGCTCCTCCATTTTAGGTGTCTCAGGTTGAAATCTAGTAGTAAGATGTTTGGGGCAGGAGTTGGGAGATTTTCCAGTGGTCAATTTTCTCAAGTTGCTCCTGGAATTGCTGGAAAGTTGCATCTGGAGGCTTGTATACTACCACAATGACAAGGTTTTGGTTTTCGATCTTTACCACCAAAACTTCAACTACATCATTTGAAGTGTTTAGTAGTTCTGTGCAAATGAGCGACTCTGTGACATACAGGCCAACATCCCCTTGTTGCCTGCTTAGTCTGTCGCATCGGAATAGGTTATAACCTGGGATCCATATTTCGTTGTCATAATGATCCTTTATGTGGGTCTCTGTGAATGTTGCAAACATTGCATTTGACTAGGTGAGCAGTCCCTTGATGTAAGGAATTTTGTACTTTTTGACGGCTTTAGACCTTGTATGTTTGCAAAGACAAATGTATTTTTGGAATTTAAAGGGGTTTTATTTGCTGGCTCTAATATCCAAATTTGATCCAAAGGAAACTTATGTTAATACCAATTCACTGGATCAAGATCCCAACACTGATACCCACATACCAGTGGTTGACATACTAAAAAGGGTGTAGGCACTCACCCTTCTGCTGGTTGTAGCTTCAGGACCAAGTTACTGGCGTCAGTCACACTGGCATCACACACGCCAGTCAGCACCAACGCTAGTCTTCTCATGGTGGACAGTGCCATGAGTGCATCCACAGGCACTGCCTCTGGCATCCTCACTCCTGTAGTGAAGCACACTACTGTCACCACACACCTCATGTTTCTCATCACACTCACCACCACCATGAACGTCTCAGTGTCATGAACATCACTCTAACATTACACCAACATCACAGGACCATGATGAACATTACAGTACCATGATGAGCATCACAGTACCATGATCAACATCACAGTACCAAGATGAACATTACAGTACCATGATGAACATTACAGTACAATGATGAACATTACAGTACCATGATGAACACAAAACATTCTCAACCCCTGCCAATTTGGATTCAGGAAAAATAAAAGCACTGATGATGCAATTATAAAAATGCTAGATCTGCTTTACACAGCATTGGAAAATAAGAAATATCCACTAGGAATTTTTATTGATCTAAGAAAAGCGTTTGACACAGTAGACCACGACATCCTACTCCACAAACTTGACCATTATGGTATAAGAGGCCATGCGCTTGTATATTTCAAATCCTACCTTTCTAATAGGTATCAGTATGTCACCATTAAAGACACAACCTCATCAATACGGCCACTTGATACTGGAGTTCCCCAGGGAAGTGTCCTTGGTCCCCTGCTCTTCCCTCTTTTAAACATCAATGATCTTCCAAACATACCCCAAACACCTGAAACTCATTCTTTTTGCTGACGACACGACTTATGTCATCTCTCACCCTAATCTTGCCACCCTAAACCCCACGTTGTTAAACGAGGAGCTACTCCAAAATATCGACTTGGATGACAGTCAATAAACTTACACTTAACGCTGACAAAACCTACTATATTATTTTTTGGGTAGCAGACCAGGTGTTGCGCAACTTAACATTAAATCGAGAACACTCTAATTGCCAGACATAACGAGGGAAAATTTCCCTTGGCCTATACCTCGACAAAACCTAAATTTCAGCATCCCATATCCACACATAACAAAAAAAGTATCCAAAACGGTGGGGATCGTTCTCCAAGATACGATACTACGTGCCGCAAATGCCCTTCTCACACTATATACCATCCACTTATTATCCATACCTCACCTATGCTATCTGTGCTTGGGGATCAACTGCAGCAACACACCTAAAGCCAATAATAAACCCAACAAAAAGCTGCAGTAAGAATAATCACTAAATCTCATCACTGGCAACACCCCCCCCCCCACCTCATATATCTAAAAATTACTCCCTGTTCAGAAAATCCACACTTACCCACTGTGCAATCTATAACTACAGACCTTAAATTCCAATATTAACCTTGACCTAAAACGCTTCTTGATAGTTGTGACAGGATCCACAGGCATAACACCAGACACAAACATTTTCTATGACATTCCCCGTGTCCGGGCTAAACCTTTACAAAAATTCAATGTATTTTCAAAGGACCTAAAATCTGGAACACCCTACCTGAAAACTCTAGAACTGCAGACACACTCATCACTTTTCAAAACTACAGTTAGAAAAAATCTTATCTCCCTGATCCACCCGACAACTAACTACAATGATAACCACCTGGTGGTTCACAATACATTCACTCACCCACTGACTATAAACCCAGAAATACTAATTTTAATCTTAAAAAAATAAATCCTAACTAGTCATAAGTTTTTCTATTATACTCCAATAAAAGACACTTTTTATTGTGCCAAAACAAAAACATTCACATTGCTAAACTCACAAATTATGATGTAGTCACTTAGCCTTAAATACCATAATCTGTAAGAATTTAATTTTTAAGAATAATCTAAGTCTGCTGGAAATGCCTAGCCATGCTAGGTGTCCTAGCGGCCCCCTCTGTAATTAGATTTTATAACAAAGCAAACCCACACAATACCCAAAACCTGTAAACCCCACATTGTAACCCTTATAGAGAATAAACTTGATTTGATTTGATTTGAATTACAGGGGCCATGATGAACATCACAGTACCATGATGAACATCACAGTACCCTGATGAATATTACAGTAACCATATGAACATCAAGTACTGATGAATATTACAGTACCACGATGAACATCACAGTACCATGAGAATATTACAGTACCACGATGAACATCACAGTACCATGATGAATTTAACAATTTCCATGATGAAATCAAGTACCCTGATGAAAAACAAAGTACCATGATGAATATTACAGTTTCCATGATGAACATCAGAGTACCATGACGAAATTACAGTACCACGATGAACATCACAGTACCATGATGAATATTACAGTAAAACGATGAACATCACAGTACCATGATGAATATTACAGTACCATGATGAACATCAGAGTACCATGATGAACATCACAGTACCATGATGAATATTACAGTACCATGATGAACATCAGAGTACCATGATGAATATTACAGTACCATGATGAACATCATGTACCATGATGAACAATCACAGGTACCAACAAGAAACATTACAATACCATGATGAAACATCACAATACCCTGGATGAACATCATACAGTACCATAATGAACATCATAGTACCATACATAACATCATAGTACCAAAATGAACAAGCACATACCATAATGAACATCAGAATACCATGATGAACATCACAATACCATAATAAAGAACATCACCAGTACCATAATGAACACATTACAAAAATTAAATAGATAATGAACATTACAATACCATGATGAACATCACAATAATCACAATACCAATAATGAACATCACAGTACAATGATGAACATCACAGGTACCATGATGAACATCACAATACCAAGTGATGAACGACCCCAGTACCACATGATGAACAATACATCACAGTACCATGATGAACATCACAATTACGATGAGAACATCACAGTACCAGTTACCATGATGAACATCACAGTACCATGATGAACATCACAGTACCCATGATGAACATCACAATCACAATACCATGATGAACATCACAGTACCATGATGAACATCACAGTACCATGAATGAACATCACAATACCATGATGAACATCACAGTACCATGATGAACATTCACAGTACCTATGATGTACATCACAGTACCAGTACCGATGATGAACATCACAATACCTATACAGAACATCACAGATACCATACCATGATGAACATCACAGTACCTCATCACAGTACCATGATGAACATCACAGTACCATAATGAACATCACAATACCATGATGAACATCACAATACCATGATGAACATCACAATACCATAATGAACCAACACAATACCGATAATGAACATCACAAATACCATGATGAACCTCACAATAACGCATAATGAACATCACAATACCATAATGAACATCACAATTACCATGATGAACCTTACAATAACATAATTAACATCACACAGTACATATGAACACACAGTACACAGTACCATGATGAACGATCACAATACCATGATAACATCACAGTACCAATGATGAACATCACAGATACCAAATGAACATCACAATACCATGATGAACATATCACAGTACCATGAAGAACATCACAGTACCATATATAATGAACATCACAGTACCATGATTTTTTGAACATCACAGTACCATAATGAAACATCACAGTACCATGATGACAACATCACAATACCATGATAACATCACAATACCATGATGAATCATTGACAATACCATGAATGAACATCAGAACACAGTACCATGATGAACATCACAGTACCGTATAATGAACCATCACAGTTCCATGATGAACATCACAGTACCAATGAAGAACATCACAATACATGATGAGACATCACAAATACATAATAACATCACAAAACCATGATGAACATTACAATACCATGATGAACATCGCAGTACCATGATGAACATTCACGTACCATAATGAACATACACAGTACCTGATGAACATCGAACAGTACCATAATTGAAACATCACAGTACGCATGATGAACATCACTGTACCATGATGAACATCCACAGTACCGATGATGGAACATCACAATACCATAATGAACACACAATACCATGATGAACATTGACAATACCATATGAACATCATCACAGTACCATGATGAACATCACAGTACCATGATGAACATCACAGTACCATGATGAACATCACAGTACCATGATGAACATCACAGTACCATGATGAACATCACAGTAACCATAATGAACATCACATTACCATGATGAACATCACAATAACCGATGATTGAACATCACGTAGCCATGATGAACATCAACAGTACCATGATGAACATCACAATACCATGATGAACATCACAGTACCATGATGAACATCTCACCAACATCATGTATCTCGTCCCATTGCTTCACAAACTTTACTTAACCTAAAGTAACGTCCTCACTAACACACACACACACACACGACCACACACACAAGAACACACACAAGAGCTGTGACTTGACTCGATCCCTGCAACAAGCACAATTAGGAATTAGGTGAGGTACACCCACACAGTAGCAGCCCAAAACAATACTAACTACTACAAGAAAGCAAACACAATTAGGAAAGATCTCAGGGTAGGGTAACGCAATGTAACCAAGCATATCACGGCTTTGATTAATATCATCCTAGTGGCATTCGCACAAGCTCTTGTAACACAAAATAGCGTAGAACACAGTGGTATAATACTCACTGACACTGAATCTTGAGTTCAGTAGTGTGGAGGTCAGCAGAGTTTTTGTTTGAGCTGTGGGCAGGAGACAGCGAGCGTGGGGAATCCTCACGATCAACACAGACAAGAGAGAGAGGTCTTCGATCACCAGTATGATATTCCATGCACACTCCGGAGCATCAGAAGACAACCCTGAACTCCTGCAGATCTTTCCCTGTCTACCGGATAAAGTAATTACTAACACTTCTGTCTTCCCTACTCACCGATAATCACCACCTACTCTGTGTATTAGCATCAAATTAAGTGGTCAAAAATCTATAGAAAGTGAAACGGCGGGTAAATGTAAACGGAATGTAAAGCGGAACGGCCCCGTGGCCTGGCTGGCAAAGCTCTCGCTTCACACCACCTCTGAG